GTACATGCTATTGTTAGCATAAATTTTGGGTTTTGATACGATGTTATCATTTGATTGTAATAAGGGTGGCATAATCAGGAGCTGGGTTATCTTTATAATAGGGGTGGCATAGTCAGGAGCTGGGTACATTGAGATAAGGTGGCATAGTCGGGAGCTGGGTATATTGAGATAAGGTGGCATAATCAAATTTTGGAAATGATGATCTTTTGATCATGTGATTCTGTTATCGCATCTATATGATGCAATAAGTGTGATTGTTATCACGTAGGGTGGTGCGATGAGATTGGGTTGTGATTCAAGGTGTTACATTTATCGCATTAATGAGATGTGATGAATTGGGTTTATCACACTAGTATGGTGCGAGGAGTTACTGTTATCGTATCCTATTCATGCAATGAAGTGAACACTTGTTATAAGACCAGAGGGGCTCTGGTTGGCCTTGCCTCTAGTTTGCCTTGCCTCTGGTTGGTAAGACCAGAGGGACTCTGGTTGGTCTTGCCTTTCGGCTCTGATGCGACGAGCTGTATAAATTTCTATATGATGCGACAAGTTTAACCCATGAGGTATTTTTCAAGATATTGGGTATTTGAATGTAATAAATGAGATTTTTATATCAAAATAATGTATATTTGTTATTATTACAAATATGGATTTATTTCACCCTGTAATTGCATCAAAGAGATTTCTCACTAGAACTCAAGGTCTAAACCTCATTTTGTGTTTCAAAAATGTACATTACAGGTCAGGACCAAATAGAGGGTAAAAGGAAAGGGAAACTATGAAAAGTCTTATATGCTTACATGGGATATGGAGAATAATATGCTTATCTGTTATTTCTGAATACTTATTGTGTATACAAGTTTTGTATAGTGATTTGGTGAGAAAAATTTGGTAGCTACTTTTGTAATGTAGCTTTTATTATATTTGGGACCAAATGTATTTCTTGATATTTGAAATATATATTTATATGCAAATATGATTATGGGGTGTTACAAGTTTGGTATTAGAGCCTGAGTTTAAGGAATTTAGGTATTTAACATGATGCCTAGACTTAAACTGTAATATTTTCATATTAAGGGTCCCTAACATATGTAGAATCATTGGAATAAATATGATGTGTTAAGAGAATGATACGTAAGGTAAATTCAAATTACAACTGGGCAATGTAATTATGAATTTACAGGTACATATTTGTACTTGGACACCTTATTAGATTTGAGAATGTGATTTGTGAATATTAAATATTGAAAATTTACAGATGACCAGTCATTCAAGAAGGTCTGAAAGAATCGCCCTTATTAGCCTGGATGAAAGGGAAAGTTCGGTAGAAAATATTGCTACAAATTTACCAGCGGGTAGGGGCAAAGAGAGAGGTCGGGGTAGAGGCCATGGAAGAGGTTGTGGGAGAGAAAGGATCAGTCAGCCTGAAATTCATCCAGATCAAGGTGAACCAATTCAGGAAAATGTAAATCAATAACTTGTACAACATACTGAGTATGTTACTAGGGATATATTAGCAGAGGAAATGACCAAGTTAAGAAATACTCTGATATCTATTATGGGAGTACCAGCCAGAGTAAAAACAGAAAGAGTTGAGATAAATCCGCAGATCCAATGTACAAGCACAAGAGGAGGTGACATCAAAATGTTCTTAACCTGTAAACCTCCAACATTTTCTAGAGAAAGAGACCCGGTAAAGGCAATATGCTGGCGGGTGAGATATATTCCGTATTTAATACTAGTAAGTGTTCATGTGAAGAAGAGTCATATTTCCTGTATTAATGCTAAAGTCAAATGCTTTGTATTAGTGGGATGTTGAATCACTAACAAGACCCAATGTTTTACAAACAATGTTCTGATTGGAGTTTGTTGACCGATTCAGGGAGCAGTTCTGTCCGAAAGCGGCTGTCAGACAACTAGAAAAAGAATTCTTAAAGTTAGAACAAGGAAACCAAACGGTAAGGGAGTACACTGAAAAATTTATCGAACACTCCCGATTTGCAGAACACTATATTTCATCTGAATCTTGTAAGGTTGAGAGATACATTTGGGGGTTAAAGCCTTCGATATGAGAGTTCACTCATTGCTATGAATCCCTTTACATTTTCACTGACAGTAGATGATGCAGAGGCAATGGAAATGAACAAGAACAGACAGGGGGAGGAGAAGGTGGTTGAGAAGAGAAAATGGGAAGGGTCTTCAACTAAATATAGAAGAACAAAATATGTAAAGACAACAAATCGTTCTGCCCAACGATTTAACGGAAGATCATTCCAAAGATGTCACCGTGTCCATCAAGGTGATTGAAATATGAATCAAATAGTTTGTTTTTGATGTGGAAAATAGGGGCATATCTCCCGAGATTTTCGGATGCGCCAACGCTGCTACCAGTGTGATTCTCTTGGCCATATAAGGCAAATTGTCCTCAGTAAAATACTCCAAGATTGACTACGGGTGGAAATACTCTAAGAACTGATAACTCTCATTTTGTGAGAGTTATTTGTTGTTCAATACCCCTATTTTATTGTATATTTGGTACCCATTTTGCTCATATCTTGTATTTTTGATCCAAAATATGTTAAGAGGTGATGAAAGGTCAAAATTTTAATTATTTTCTAAAAAACCCATTACTATTGGTAAAATGCCCACTTTCTGCTCACATTCATCTTATGGCAGATTTGCATCTAGTTGGATTTGAACAAAATTCAGATATTCATTCCCTTGGATATTAATGAGATTTAATTCTRAGTTCAGATCTAAACATTGAGTTGCTTGGAAGAATGGACCTGGTTGAAGTGATGAAAAGACAAAGAAARTACTCTTACCTTTATTTTGATTGAAAAGCCTTCTTTTCATAATTTATTGGAGTACTTTTACCTTTTGCAACCTTTCAAGAAGAAGTGACAAGGCCAGAGATAAAGTAGACTTGTGGTGAAGGTGGTCCTTACCCTTTGGACAATGCAGATTTTTACCCATTGGGTAAAGAGTTTATCCGATCCCACCTTTTCCCTATATTTTGAAGGCTTTCTCTCATTTGTAATAACTCCATTCCACCAGCAATTTAGCAAAGCAACCTTGGAGCATTCTTTCAAGCTTTGTAACAGTAGAACAAGTTTAATTTCGGTTTGTAATTTAATTTTCGTAGTTAATCTTTAATTCCTGCCACTGTGTATTGTGTGCCCTCTGTGGGCAACAGTAAGTATTTATTTTTAGTTCAAGTATTTCTTATGCATTTTTCTTCTTCTGTTTCCCTTATGTTTTCTAATTTTATTATGAGCTAAGCACCCCTTTGGGTGTGGGTGTGAGTCAAGCTTAAGGATTTAAGGGCACACTTGGGTGTTGCCATTTTTATTGATTCTTAAGCTTGGTCATTTAAGACGAGACGTAAACTCAATGCAGATAAGCCGATCACTTTGAAGTGTTAATATTAGATCCTTGATCCAGAGATGGGCGGATCTGAAATACGGCTTAGATGATGCACAAAGATTTGAGAGAGTCTTTGATAATCACGCAGAGATGCGGGTTTTGCATGTTTTTATCTTTTGTTCAGATATTAGTCGAGTTTATGCTACAATACGTTGTGAGTATAAATCTTCAGGCTAGTGGAACCAGATATCTTTTTATCTAGTAGCTAATTCGGCAAGTTTAAGATTGATAA